CATTTGAATCCCACTACTGGGCCCATCCTCAGGCATTATCTTCAACACTTGAATCTTTCCTTTCTTTCTTGTCTTTTTCACGGCCTTTTGCTCTCCCCATGAATGATGTCCCGGATGTCCCCTCACCTTCATTCACGGCTTCTGTGCGTCAAACCCTTTTGTGAGATGTTCTCTAAATTCAGGTGGGATAGACTCAAGGTCGTATTTTGGTTCTTGTGGACTTATTTTAATTTTTTTCGGCTTCAACCTGAACTTATCTAAGAGCTATTAATGGTCTGTCTGTACCACAGTCGACCCTTGGCCTGGTTTAAGCTGCTAATATTGAGCTTTCCATGGTCTCTTCCCACAGATGTAGTCAATTTGACTTCTATGTATTCCCTCTGGAGAAGCTCACGCGTAGCAGGCCCTGTTTGCATTGTTGAAAAAGGTGTTTGCATGGGGAGCTGATATCAGGGGCTCAGGTGGGAAGAGAATGCTTTGAAAATGATGATGGTGGCATAGGTGCCAATGTGCTTGACACACTAGACGATTGTACGGATTGTGATAAGAGATGTAAGAGCCCCCAATAAAAATATTAAAAAATAATAAGATAAAGAGAATAAAGAAGTATATCTTTCCTCAGATTAAAAAAAAGAAAAAAGGTATTTGCTATGAATGAGTCATTGGTCTGGCAAAACTCTATCACAGGATCTACAGCTTTGATTCAGTCATCATACTTTTCATGCACTGTTGCTTCCTCTTTGTTTCCAATCTTTATACATTCCAATCACCTATCATTATCGATGCATCTGGATTACCTGATCAATTCTAGATTGAAGACTGTAGAATTCCTCGATGCCTGCATCACTGCATCAATAGTTGTATTGATTGCATTTCCTTTTTGTAGAGAATACTATCCTATCACAATTTTATTTGGAACTCCCACTAAGCGAACTGGACTTAGTCTGAAACATGCCGGGCGCAGATTAAAGTAACTGCAGTACTTCCCTATGTGAGAAGAAGCAGGTGACAACTATCACAAGGATACAGATGTGGAGGTCATTGAATTGACGTTCAGAATTTTTGCCCTACGGGTGCCCAGTAAGTGGCAATGGAAGTCTACCATATATGTACTCTTTTCATATATTCTTTATCTTTCTGAGAGAGCATTAATGAAAGTTTTGCCCTATCTCCAACCCTCACTGTAAGTGTGAATAATGTCCAGTCACCTAATCTGTACAAATAGATAATCCAAAAAATGAGGACCTAATGTCGGGGGTTTAAATGGAGAGAAAATGTTTTGAGAAACGATGTACAAATGCGCTTTACACAATTGATGTGTGTATGGATTGGGATAACAGTTGTATGAGCCCCAAATAAAATGATTTTTTTTAAAGAAAAAAAAATAGATAATCCAGCTATTCTGTTCTAAAAAAAAAGTCATATACATATGTGCTTTCTTTTTCACCAGTGTTTTAAGTTCTAAACCTGCAGTTAAATTAAGGGTTACATATATCAATAGAACTACCATATGCTCCATGAGGTTCATTTATAATGTCGTTCAACCATATAACAATGATTAATATCTTCAAAGTGAACCAGGGACATATAAAAATCATAGGCACACTAATGGGTTTTGAGCTCCCACTTATTTGTAGCCCCAATCTAAGAATACTTCGTTCATATGACATGGCCCTGCTCACTATCTACCTCCATGAAGGGATCACTGAAGAGATGTTATTAAAGCTTACATTCTGAGCACTCGGTTTGCCACAGGGGATGGATAGCAGTGAAAGCCCCAGACCCATCTGTAGGGTGCTCCACACGGATGAGGCCTCAGATGATGAATTCCTTCAGATTGTGGACCGAGATGGGAAGAACCTGTTAGCAGACAGACGACTTTTGCAATTGTAATGAGGGTCAATATAGAATTACTGTACTCCAGTTTGTAATACTTTCTGCTTAGCTCTGTTGATTAAGGTTGATCTCTGTTTCATTGTGTCCTTGTTTGGGGCTGTTTGTCTTCTATCTTGATACTTTGCTGTATATGAAATGAGGTCAACCTATAAAGCCAACATGTTGCGATCTGCATGGTTGGCGGTTCAAAACCACCAGCAGCTTCTGAGGAGAAAGACTGGACCTTCTACTCCCGTAAGCATTTATGGTCTTGCACACCCACAAGGGGTCTCTATGAGTCAGCAGTGACTTGATGGCAGTAAGTTTTGGATACAGAGACAACAACCAGGTCCCTAGATTCAAAGGGACGTGACAGGGGAAGCTGGGAGGCCACGGATGAAGAGGACAAAGATGAAGAAATGTCCTGGAATTGATTGCAACTCCCATGAATGTGATTGAAGTATTGAAATGTATGAGATGTGAATTGTATGTAGGTGAAGTCGTTCAAAATGAACTAATTGTTTAAAGAAGATTCAATCCTTTCACCAACAGCATTGTACTTCATTCACATATCATACAATTCAATACTTCAATCCTATCAAGAAGGTGGTACAATCATTACTATAATCAATTTTAGAACATTTTCTTCTTCCTTGCACTCATTGTTAGAGTAATTATTGTTTTCTTTGGCTTTTTTTGTTTTTTTAAATCATTTTGTTGGGGGCTTGTACAACTCTTATCACAATCCATACATATGTCCATTGTGTCAAGCACATTTGTACATTTGTTGCCATCATCCTTCTACTTGTGCCCTTAATATTGGCTCCTCATTTTTCCCCCTCCTTCCCCACTCCCCTCTCCCTCATGAACCCTTCATAATTCATAAATTATTATTATTTTGTCATTTGTTACACTGTCTGACGTCTCCACCCACCCACTTCTCTGCTGCCTGTCCCCCAGGGAGAAGGCTATACGTAGATCCTTGTAATCAGTTCCCCCTTTCCACCCCACATTCCCTCCACCCTCCCTGTATCGCCACTCTCACCACTGGTCCTGAAGGGATCATCTGTCCTGGATTCTCTGTGTTTCTAGTAGCTATCTGTAACAATGTACATCTTCTGGTCTAGCCAGATTTGTAAGGTAGAATTAGGATCATGAGGTTGGTGGGGGGGGGGCATTTAAGAACTAGAGGAAAGTTATATGTTTCATCCTTGCTACCCTGCACCCTGACTAGCTCATCTCCCCACACCCCTTCAGTAAGGGGGTGTCCAGTTGCCTACCGATGGGCTTTGAGTCTCAATTATTGTTTTTTTTAAATTGTGGCAAAAATATACAGAACAAGGCATTCTCCAATTGAACAACTTCTACGGGTATAATTCAGTGCCATTGATTATACTCTTCGTGTGTGCAGCCATTATTGATATCCTTCTCCAAATTATTCCACCACCATTCACATGAACTCAATGCCCCGAAAGCAACAACCCTTCCTCCTTCACCCATGGGAACCATTGGTCGTGTTTGATTTCTTCTTTTTTAAAAGTCATTTTCATTATATAAAATCCATATCTCATACACTTCCACTGCTAAGTCACTTTATTAAAGAGTTGCATCTACATCATCACCCTCAGTTCTAATGCTCCCTCCCCCTCCCGCATTGTTTGCTCCCCAATTCCCCTCTCCCCACCCTCCAGTTGCATTAGTTATTGTCTCTGTGCATCCATTCCTTCTGTGCTTCATAAACTGGGAAACGTAACACAAGAACAAAATGAAATAGAAGAAAAGAATTAGAATAATAGAAAATTTTTAAAAAGAATAATAGAAAGAGAAAGGCAAAAAATACCACCAGCAATATTTAAAAAGCCAGAGAGAGACTTTCTGTCATGGAACAAGTGAGAAATATTTAAGCCTAGAGCAAATTCAGGTTGGATCTAAAGGGAGGTCAACTGCCCAAGTATCACGTTATACTGTGGTTCGATCCACCATCATCTCATAGTAAAGCCATTGCAAGTCCCTTGCCTGTGGCCAGAGGGGATCTGCCAGAGACTTAATCTGACTAGATATTCAACAGATGGATTTTGGGTTTCCACTGTCCTCCATAGCCTTCTACAAATTGGGTGTTCACAATGTGTGCTCTGATACTTTTCCCTTCACCATATTTGGATTTTGTTATTGTCATCTTTGGATCACACAGGCTGGTGTGCTTCTTGCGTGTGGGTTTAGTTGACACCTCACTTAGATGGCTGCTTGTTTGAATACAGGCCTTGTAAGACCTCAGACATCTGGATGTAAGTCTTTCTTACTGGTTCCATGACAGAAATTTCTTCTCTGGCTTTTTGAATGGTGTTGGGGTCTACTGTATCTTTGTCTGTGTGATATTATGTTTTTATCTTTCCCACCTTTGCCTGATTTTGCTTTGTATGGTTTTCTGTGGGACTGCCAGCTGTGGAGCATGGGAGTGGCGCATCACGAGAATAACCCGCGAAGACACGGGTGTGGGGTGGATGATGGGGAGGAGCAAGAGATCTCGGGAGGGGGAGGGAGCACTAGAATGGATTGTGTGCCTCACCCCTGCCTCCTCAGAGCACAGTGGCAGCAGAGGCTGTGGACCACACTGAGTGACACTGTCGATACTATGTTTGCCGTCTTTCCACCCATCTCTCCCCCAGCCCTTCACCACTCGGGGGACAGCCCTATGCTCCCCTCGAAGGGAAACCGTGGCGACCACTAGCGAGCCCCAGCCCAGGCCCAGAAACAGGGACACTGCGCAGGAGGGCTGCTGAGCCAGACCCTGCCCTGCCCTCGAGGACCAGCCCCCAAGCTCCGCCCTTCCGTCTCTCTGTCATTGGTGCACTGAGGGGTGCCACTGCGTGGGTCTAGGTTCCCATCCCACCTCTGTCCCAGGAGATTCTTGGTACAGTTGGAGGTGGCCATCAAGAACCTTCAGGGAAGGTTCTGGGAGGGTCCAGGGTCCCGCCCCTCTCACCTGCCCAGGCCAGGTGCCCGCGGCCTCCCTCCGCTGTGCCCGCCAAGGCCGGCAGAGGGCAGTAGCGCCCTGCCCTCCACCTTCGGGCAATGGGGCGGACGGGGAGGGGCCGGCGGCCCAGGGAGCCCCAGGATGAGTCGGGCTGGGCGCGTGCATTGTGGGGAGGGAGGCTGGGGCTCACGGGCCGACTCCAGCGCCACAAGCTGCTCCTAACCTGCCCGCCCGCCCAGGTAGGCAGGAGGCCGGCCGCGTGGGGGCAGGGGTCGCCGGGGGAAGGGTGCTGCGGGCGGAACCTCGGCCAGAATGCTGCCAGGAGGGCGCGGGGAACATTGGGCAGCTCAGGCAAAGGCCCTGGGTGACCGTCCCAAGCCCTGCGAGGGCACCTCCTGATGCCCGGGGCCTCTGTGCCCAAGGGGGTGGCCCTGGAGCTGAGTGCTGGGGACCAGGGACTTCAGGGCCCACACAGGAGCTAGGCGATCAGTACCGGCCTGGGCCGGGATACAGAGTAGGGAGGCAGCCACTCTGAGTTCCTGCCCCCACAGCCACCAAACCGGCCCGGCCAGGCAGCAGCAAGCCCCAATGCGGCCACCTTGCCAAGAGCCTAAGGCTGCTGTGCTTGGTGAGCTGATGGTGGCCTAGGAGTTGAAGGGAACAATAATACTTGCCCACAGAGCGCATTGCGGGGGTGGGGTGGTGGGGGGTGGTGTCAGGTTGGCTCCCTGGTGGCCTCTCTCCCTGCCCACCACCCACTCACTGAGCTCTCTGCTTCAGACCCCTCTCTGATACATCCTGTCCTGTCTGCCACTGCCACCATGCCGTACCTGGCACGATTTTTGCCAGCCCCTGGGGAGGGCCAGCCTGGGGGCTTGCTCTCTGGCCAGTGTGATCCTGAGCAGTGGGGGCTGGGGGATGAGATCTTCTCTGTGGGTCACTGCCTTTGTCAGCGTCTCCCCTACCCCCACTCTGGACAAAGACACCCATTGAAGCCGGAACTGACACTTCAGCCGGGCACCAAGGCTACCAAGGCCGAGGCTGGCATTTCTAGGGCTTGGCGCCTCTGGCCTCCTGAGGAGGCTCTGTGGCCCATCCTGACCCCTGCAAAGGAATGGGGGGCAGTCTGGCTTCCTAACTGAGGAGCAAGGGAGGGACGCACGTGCTGTGGGAAGACAGGGTCTCGTTTCTCTGGCTGAAGGACACTCTCATCCCTTTGTCCCCACATCCCAGCCAGTGACTCCCTGGGGTGGGGAGTAGCAAGGGAGCCCCCAACCCAGAGCACCCTGCAGGGTGGGTAGTCAGTGCACCAGATAACGGGCCCTGGGCCTGGGAGTCGGGACAGAGGGGACATTGTTGGGGTGGAGGCAGGGCTGTATTGGCCATGGCCACTATTGAAAAAGCTGCCAGCTGTGGCCGAGCCTGGCCGCCAGGCCCTCGGCCCCCAGCCGCTCTCCTCCCCCAGGCCAGCAGGAATGGGGCTGAGCCTCTGTTTCTCGTGCCCCCGCCCTCAGGACAATGCCCCCCACAGCTCACTTGTGCCCAGCACCACTGCCCCAGGGCAGCTGAAGTGACCAGATGGACCTTCTGTGGGCTTGTGCGGCCCAGAAGACCCCGCGGCTGCAGTGCAGCACGGCAGTAAGTGCCTGTGACCGTGGCCCTCAGGGCAGCAGCATGGCACAGGCGGGGGAGGGGGGGAGATAAGCCAGGCTGCAGGAAGGGCTATGGCTTTGGAGTCTCCCAGGCCTTCCTGTCTGTGGTCCAGAGATAAAGGGTTTTTTTTTTTTTGGGGGGGGGGTGTTCTGCACCAGCGTACTGAAGCTCAGCCTCTCACCCTGGCCTTGGGCCCTTTGACCTGCGCCTGGAGGTCACCCAGGCCTTCCTGTGCTCTGTGTGCCCTTGGTCCATCCCCAGGTACCCAGCAGGCCCGGAGGAGTCACCTCAGAGGCTGACCTCTTTAAGGGGGTGATAGAGAGGGGGTCCTTTCTCTCACTCCCTCCTCTCCCCTCCTGCCTGTTTCCTCTGATGCCTCCTTGCTCTGACCACCCCCACCTCCATCCGGGCCCTCTGAGCAAGACCCTGCCACCCCTACCAACTCCTTGCCGTCTTTGGCCAGTGTCCAAGTGCCTCAGTTTTCCCCAGTTTCTCTCCCCACCCCAATACAGGTGGGAGTGTCTAAGTGTGTGTGTGTGTGTGTGTGTGTGTGTGTGTGTGTGTGTGCGCGTGCGCACAAGGGTGCACTGCCATGAAGCCTTCCTGGGCTTCCCACCCTCTTCCCCCTCACCTGGTTCGTCCCAATCCCCTGGCCTCCCGCCCTGTCTGCCACCCACCAACCACTGCCTCAGGCCGGCCCAGCCTCCGCCTCCCTCCGTCTGTCCCCCAGAGTCCCTCTGTTCATGTTCCTTGCTGCCCTGCCTTTCTCCATCTCTTGAATACTATTCGTTCCCGTCTGTTCCTCTGCTGTTTCCCTCCCTTTTTGTCCCTCTGCCTCCCTGTCCCTATCTCTCCTGCCCCCACTCCTCCCTGTCTCTCTCCCTCCCTGTCTTCCCCTCAGCCCCAGTGTTTGCTCTGGCTGCGTCTGCCCCCTAGGTCCCTCCAACTTGCCTGCCTTAACCCCTTTCATACCTACTCCTTCCCACCGGGCCTCACTTCTGCTCCTCCCCCAGGCCTCTGCGATGGTCCCTCGGTCTACCTTCTATCTCCGCCTCCTGCTGCTGTTGCTGTCACCACCGCCGCTGTCCTTAACCCTGGCCCAGCGGTTCTCGGCAGCCAACACCACTTTCAATCACTTGGCGCTGGCACCAGGCTCCCTCTACGTGGGCGCCGTCAACCGCCTCTACCAGCTCAGCCCTGAGCTGCAGCTGGAGGCTGTGGCTGTCACCGGCCCTGTCCTCGACAGCCCTGACTGCTTGCCCTTCCGAGAGCCAGCAGAGTGCCCGCAGGCCCGGCTCATGGACAATGCCAACCAGCTGCTGGTGGTGAGCAACCAGGCTGGGGAGCTGGTGGCCTGTGGGCAGGTGCGGCAGGGCGTGTGTGAGAAGCGCCGCCTCGGGGCTGTGGCAGAACTATTGTACCAGCCCGAGGACCCTGGAGATGGGCAATTTGTGGCCGCCAACATTCCCGGAGTGGCCACGGTGGGCCTAGTGGTGCCCGGGCCGGGAGGAGACCTCCTGCTGGTGGCCAGGGGCCTGGCGGGCAAGCTGTCCCGCGGGGTCCCTCCGCTGACTGTGCGCCAGCTGATGGGGCCCCAGCCCTTCTCCAGCGAAGGCTTGGGCCGCCTGGTGGTGGGGGACTTCTCTGACTACAACAACAGCTACGTGGGAGCCTTCGCTGACTCCCAAGCCGCCTACTTTGTCTTCCGCCGACGTGCTGCCCGAGCGCAGGCAGAATACCGCTCCTACGTGGCCCGCATCTGCCTGGGTGACGCCAACCTCTACTCCTACGTGGAGGTGCCCTTGGCCTGCAGCGGCCAGGGTCTGGTGCAGGCTGCCTTCCTGGCCCCGGGCACACTGCTAGGGGCATTTGCTTCTGGGCCTCAGGGTGCACAGGCCGCCCTGTGTGCCTTTCCTTTGGCCCAGCTGGATGCCAACATGGAGGATGCCCGGCGGGTCTGCTACACAGCAGCCGGCCGAGGCCCCAGCGGCTTGGAGGAAGCCACCGTGGAGTACGGCGTGGCGTCACGTTGTGTCACCTTGCCCCCTGTGAGTGGCTTTGCCCTCGCCCCTCTCTACCCCTCATGGGCCAGCCCTGCCTCCTGTCTGTTGTACCCACCCCTCAGTGTGCCTGTCTCAGTGTGCACCCTGCCATTTCCCTGTTCTGCACAAACTTCCTGCCTTCCCTCCTCCAGGACGCCCCCAAGTCGTACCCCTGTGGCGAGGAGCACACACCCAGCCCCATCGCTGGCCGCCGACCCCTGGAGGCCAAGCCCCTGCTACTGCTCGCGCAGCCCATCAGTGCGGTGGCCGCCCTTGAGGCAGACGGACACACCATGGCTTTCCTGGGGGACACCCAGGGCCAGTTGCACAAGGTGAGGTTCCCAGATGCCGTGGGCCAGCCTGGGGCCTGAGGACCTCACATGGGGGGTGGTCCTTTACCAACATGGAAGGGAAGTGGCCACATGCCCCCCACCTGGAGAGCTGGCCTGGACTCGGGGTGGTAGCCAGTGGCCCAGCCCTGCCCTGGTCCCCTGCTCCCAGGTCTTTCTCAAGGGGACCCAGGGCCAGTTGTACTACTCCCAGCAAGTGGGGTCCCCAGGCTCGACCATCAGCCCTGACCTGCTGGTGGACCCCAGTGGCAGCTACCTCTATGTCCTGACCGCCGAGCAGGTGAGGACTGTTGGGGGCAGGGGCTGGGCACATGGCCCCAAGTGCCAGGCTCATAGCCTCTCACCCTGCTGCCCACGTAGGTGGCCCGGGTACCCGTGGCAGCCTGCCCCCAGTTCCCTGACTGCACCAGCTGCCTGCAGTCTCAGGACCCACTTTGTGGCTGGTGTGTTCTCCAGGGCAGGTGAGTGCCACCCCAGTGCTGTGGGCTGGGAGGCCCAGGGTCACTGTTGACAATCTCGCCCCTTTCCAGCAGCCCAGTTGCCTAGGAAGCCTGGCTCCCCGCTGTTGGGCACACCTACCCCATCCCTTCATGCCCTGCTGTTCAATGTGGCCCAGCTGGGCCTTCAGGGGCCCAGACCTCGCAGTGACCCAATGGTCCCCTGGGCACCAGGTGTACCCGGAAGGGCCAGTGTGAGCGAGCGGCTCAGCCGAACCAATGGCTGTGGAGCTACCAGGAGGGGGGCGGCTGCCCACATATCCAAGGTCTACACCCAGCCCAGCACTCTCGCCGGGAGCAGGGCCAGGTAGGACTGGCAGGCTGGGCTTCTGTTCTGTGATGGGGTGCTTCTGCGGCAGTGCTTTCACCCCAGCAGTGACCCCCTCCCATGTGTCCCAGGTCACTCTCTCTGTCCCCTGGCTGCCTGCCCTGGCCCCAGATGAATACTTTCACTGTGCCTTTGAAGACTACGACAGCTTGGCTCACGTGGAAGGGTCCCATGTGACCTGTATCACACCTCCGCATGACCAGGTGCCCCCTAACCCTCCCGGCACAGGTAAGGGGCCTTGTGGTCAGGCGGGGTGAGTGGGAGCTGGTGTAAGCCAGTCGGAGGCCCCTGACCCATCCAGGCCCCACTGCGCTACCGCAGACCACATCACGCTGCTCCTGGCCTTGATGTTTGAAGATGTGGTGATGGCTGCTACCAACTTCTCCTTCTATGACTGCGGTGCTGTCCAGGCCTTGAACGCTGCTGCCCCGTGAGTTCGTGAGCTGGGCACCTGCTGGGCAAAGACAGCAGCCCCCAGCACGCCCACCTGAGCCATCTCTCTGCTCTTCAGGTGCCGCGCTTGCGTGGGCAGCCTCTGGCGTTGCCACTGGTGCCCCGAGAGCAGCCAATGTGTGCTCTGGGAGCACTGCCCCGATGGCGAGAGGACTGTGTACAGCGCCCAGGAGGTGGGTGGGGTCCCGGGCCACAGCTGCCTTTCCCATGGCAGGCCACTTGAGGTCTGAAGGGCTGTGGGCTCTCATTTTCCCAGGTGGACATCCAGGACCGTGGCCCAGAGACTTGTCCCCAGGTTGAGGGCCTGGCAGGGCCCCTCTTGGTGCCAGTGGGCTGGGAAAGCCGCTTGGCGCTCCATGTGCGGAACCTTCAGCATTTCCGAGTGAGTGGAGGAGGGAGTGGGACTCGGGCGAGTGAGTGTGCCCGTGTCCAGGCTCCTGACTGGTCCTGCCCTAGGGCCTGCCTGCCACTTTCCACTGCTGGCTGGAACTGCCGGGAGAGCTTCGGAGGCTGCCTGCCTCACTGGAGGAAAAGGTTGGGAATGAGGGCATCATCCACTGCCAGGCCCAGCAGGTAACCAGTTGCCACCCCCCACCACCACCACCCACACATACATAACTCACCATGAACCTGAAGCCCTGGGACAAGGGCCGGATACACCCTTGCCAGCGCCTGTTCTGTGTCAGACACTAAACAATTGCACCCATTCTCAGGGGCTCTGGGGAAGAAGTGGGCCTGGGGCCTGACCCACACCTCCTCCCACAGTTCCAGCCCTCGACCTCCCAGCGGGAGCTCCGGGTGCCTATCTACGTCACCCGTGGCGAGGCCCAGCGCCTGGACAATGCCAGCCCTCTTCACAGTGAGCTGGGGGCGGGCAGGGGGGCGGGCTCGCAGCCGAGGGGCAGGGCCTCAGCATTGCCGACCTTCCCTAGTGACCCTGTATGACTGCGCCGTGGGCCACCCTGACTGCAGCCACTGCCAGGCAGCCAACAGGAGCCTGGGCTGCCTTTGGTGCGGCCAAAGCCAGCCAGCCTGTCGCTATGGGCCCCTGTGCCCACCTGGGGCTGCCCAGCAACACTGCCCTAGGCCCAGCATTTTCTCGGTGAGGACCCCTCGCCAACTGAGACCGCTGCCCGCACTGCCCCAGCCACACCTGCCCCTGGGCCCGAGCTCTGATAGCAGGGCAGCAAGGGGAGCTCAGGGTCTTCCCTTCCTCCTGGCTACAGATCGAGCCCCACACTGGCCCCCCTGAGGGGGGCATGGCCCTCACCATACTGGGCTCCAACCTGGGCCAGGACTTTGCTGATGTGCAGGACGCTGTGAGTGTGGCTGGCCAACCCTGCAGCCCTGACCCAGCTCTCTACAGGATCTCTGCCCGGTGAGGTGCCAGGCCTAAGAAGCAGAGTGTCAGTGGCAGGGCAGCTGATGGGACAGGCAGAGGGCAACTGGGGTCACAGCGTTCACCCCAGAAACCGTGACAGTGGCAAGATTCCTGGCCTTCACTTTTCAGGATTGTGTGTGTAACGTCCCCTGCCCCCAATGGCACCACGGGACCAGTCCAAGTGGCCATCAGGAGCCGGCCACCAGGTGTCTCCCAGCAGCACTTCATGTACCAGGTCAGTGCCCGGGCAGGCCAGTGTGGGAGCAGTGGGGTGACTAGATGAGCATCAGGGGGTGCCTGCTGGGGCCAGAAAGAGGCTTTCTCAAGGTTGAGTGTTCCCAGGGGCCTGAGAGGCGAGGCGGTGCCGGCCCAGAATGTACTCTGTTCCCCAGGACCCTGTCCTGCTGAGCCTGAGCCCCCGCTGGGGTCCCCAGGCAGGGGGCACCCAGCTCACCATCCATGGGCAGCACCTCCAAACAGGAGACAACATCAGTGCATTTGTGGGGGGCCAGCCGTGCCCCATGTGAGTACCTGCTGGGTGGACTTGGGCTCCTGAGGAAGGCGGGTGCTGCTGGGGAGGCCTTGGTCCCTTCCCACGCTCCTTTCCCCGCCCCGGCAGCCAGGAGCCGGTGTGTCCAGAGAGCATCCGGTGCCATACCATGCCCCAGGCAGCCCCTGGAGAAGCAGTCGTGCGAGTGGTCTTTGGTCAAGCCCAACGCACACTGCCATCCAGCCCGTTCATCTACACTGACAACCCCCAGCTCTTGGCGGCCGAGCCCAGTGTCAGCTTCCGGGGGTGAGCAGCCCAGTGCCCAGGGCCGCCAGAAGTGGGGGCTGGGGCCAGCTTCAGCTGGAGGTTTGCGCCTTGACGGCTATTCTCTGCAGGGGCGGGCGGCTGATCCGAGTCAGGGGCTTGGGTCTGGATGTGGTGCAGTGGCCTCTATTATCTGTGTGGCTGGACAGCGAGGGTCCAGTGGAAGCCGCACCGGCCCAATCCCAGGACTTGGACCTAAGGCAGAGCTGTGGAGGTACCACTGCAGACCCCCAAGCTTGCATCCAACTTGGAGGGGGCCTGCTGCAGGTGAGTCCCCACCCCAGGGCCGGGGTGGGTAATCAAGTTGGGACCCAAGCCGACATCCCCCTCTGTCTCCAGTGCTCCACAGTCTGCTCGGTCAACTCGCCCAGCCTCCTCTTGTGCCCAAGCCCTGCCGTGCCTGACGGTGCCCGCCTGCGCCGGGTCTTCTTCAGCCTGGACAATGTGCAGGTGGACTTCAGCAGGGCCAGCGGGGGCCAGGACTTCCTCTACTATCCCAATCCCCGCCTGGTCCCCCTCAGCCGCGAGGGCTCCACCCGTCCCTACCGCCTCAAGCCAGGCAACGTCTTGGATGTGGAAGTGAGGGTCGCTGGATCTCGGGTGGGTGGGCGGGCAGGCAGCCAGGGAAGTCAGCCAGATCCAGACTCATGCTCCATCCCCAGGGTGAGGGCCTGAACTTGGGCATCAGCAAGGAGGAGGTGCGTGCCCTCATCGGCGATGCCGAATGTCTGGTGCAGACCCTCACCCTCACCCACCTCTACTGCCAGCCCCCGCCCCGGGCCCCACAGCCAAGCAACGGCAGCAGTCTGCCCCAGTTTGTGGTGAGGCCCCAGTGGGCGAACGGGCAGGTGGGTGGACGAGGGTAGCCAGCCCCCAAGGGCCCCCCTCCCCCGGCTCAAGCTGCCTACCGCTCACCCGCAGGTGCACATGGGCAACGTGCAGCTGGTGCTGGGTCCCGTGCAGTACGACGCGGAGCCCACGCTGGCGGCCTTCCCCGTGGAGGCTCAGGTGGGCCTGGGCCTGGGTGCTGCTCTGCTGACAGCCGCCGTCCTGCTGCTCACCCTCATGTACAGGTGAGGCGGCCGCCTTCTCCCAGGGGGTGGAGTGGCCATCCTAGCCGGCCCAGGGCTGACGTGGCCCTGGGCTCCAGGCACAAGAGCAAGCAGGCGCTGCGGGACTACCAGAAGGTGCTGGTGCAGCTCGAGAGCCTGGAGGTCGGCGTGGGGGACCAATGTCGCAAGGAGTTCACAGGTGCTTTTGCCTCCTTCCCGTTGCCTGGCTCCTGCTCCCTCCGCCTGGCGCTGCCCTCTCCTCCTCACTCTCCCCTGCCCCTCCCCGCCTGCCCACAGACCTGATGACGGAGATGACAGACCTCAGCAGTGACCTGGAGGCCAGCGGGATCCCTTTCCTGGACTACCACACATACGCCGAGCGCGCCTTCTTCCCTGGCCATGGAGGCTGCCCACTGCAGCCTGTGCCCGAGGGGCCTGAGGAAGAGGGTCGCCGCGCCACTGTGCGCCAGGGCCTCACGCAGCTGTCACACCTCCTCAACAGCAAGCTCTTCCTCCTGACAGTGAGGGGCCTGGGCTTGGGGATGGACAAGAGTGTGTGTGTGTGTGTGTGTGTGTGTGTGTGTGTGTGTGTGTGTGTGTCTCGGCAGGAGGTGGAGGTAGGGGGTGGCCGGGGGGGTTGGCGGTGAGGGGTGGCAGGGGTGGTGGTGGTGGTGGTGGAGGTTCCAAGGGCCTTCAAGAGTGAGCGCTGGCCTCTCCCCCAGCTCATCCACACGCTGGAGGAGCAGCCCAGCTTCTCCCAGCGTGACCGCTGCCACGTGGCCTCCCTGCTGTCCCTGGCCCTGCACAGCAGGCTGGAGTACCTAACGGACATCCTGCGGACCCTGCTTGGGGACCTGGCCACCCATTATGTAGATAAGAACCCTAAGCTCATGCTGCGCAGGTGGGCCTCCCAGGCGAGGGCGAGGGCAAGGGCAAGGGCAAGGGCGGGCCGAGTGGACCCGCTGCCCTCTGAGTGGGGCCTGCTACCTCTTGCAGGACGGAGAGCATGGTGGAGAAGCTGCTCACCAACTGGCTGTCCGTTTGTCTGTACGCCTTCCTGAGGGTGAGGGGCCTGCTGCAGGGCGGGGGCTTGGGAAGGAATGGAGGGACATTGGGAGGGCACAGTGACTGAAGGATGAGGAGCTAGGAAGGAGCAGGAGCCAAGCCTCCCCAGGCACAATCACACCCGTACTCATGGCTGCAGGAGGTGGCTGGTGAGCCTCTGTACATGCTCTTCCGGGCCATCCAGAACCAGGTGGACAAGGGCCCTGTGGATGCCGTGACAGGCAAGGCCAAGCGCACCCTGAACGACAGCCGCTTGCTGCGAGAGGACGTGGAGTTCCGGCCACTGACACTTATGGTGCTGGCGGGGCCGGGGGCCAGTGCCGGGCAGCACTTGCCAGCCCGGGTCCTGGATGCCGACACCATCACACAGGTCAAAGAGAAGGTGTTAGACCAAGTCTACAAGGGCACGCCCTTCTCCCAGAGGCCCTCCGTGCACTCCCTGGACCTCGGTGAGCAGGCCCGGCCACCTGGCCAGGAAGGGAGGACTCAGGGCAGAGGCGGGGACAGACCAACTTCCCTGTGTCCCCTCAGAGTGGCGCTCCGGCATGGCTGGTCACCTCACCCTGTCTGATGAGGACCTAACCTCGGTGACCCAGAACCAGTGGAAGAGACTCAACACCCTGCAGCACTACAAGGTGGCTGTCCCCTGCCTGCCTGACAGGGAGGGACCTCCTCAGGCTGCCTAAGTCTTGATGGCCAGGCCTCTGTCCCATCCCCCAGGTCCCGGATGGAGCAACAGTGGGGCTAATTCCTCGGCCCCACACAGGTGCGGGTACCCCGAGCCTGGCTCCCAGCTACCTCTCCGCAGACAGTGAGTGCCCCCTCCCCATGGGACAGGTACTCAAAGAGCAGGGCACCAGACTTGCCATGTCCCCCCACTGGTGAGTGAGGCCAGCCTGTTGTCTCCAGATATGCCCATGCTGGAGGACAGGGAGGACGGGGACGAGGGCGGCCTCCGCCTTTGGCACCTGGTGAAGGCCACGGAAGACGGGGAGGGGACCAAGCCTCGACGCAGCAGCCTGCGGGAGCGGGAACGGGCCCGGGCCAAGGCCATTCCGGAAATCTACCTCACCCGCCTGCTCTCTATGAAGGTCAGGCCGCAGAGGCAGGTGGGCCAAGCATAGCCTGCGGGGTCTTGCCCAGTGCAACCCCAACCCTTCGCCTCCTTTGCAGGGCACGCTTCAGAAGTTCGTGGATGACACGTTCCAGGCCATCCTGAGCGTGAACCGGCCCGTGCCCATCGCTGTCAGGTACCTGTTTGACTTCCTGGATGAGCTGGCCGAGCAACACAGCGTCCAAGACCCCGAGACCCTGCACATCTGGAAGACCAACAGGTACCTTGCCACCCCTCCCCTGTTTCCGGCGCCTGTCCACACATCCTGGCCTCTCAGTCAGCTCCCTGTCGCTGCTGTCCCCAGCCTGCTGCTGCGTTTCTGGGTGAACACACTGAAGAACCCCCAGGTCATCTTTGATGTGCGCGTGTCAGACAACGTGGATGCCAGCCTTGCTGTCGTTGCTCAGACTTTCATTGACTCCTGCACCCTCTCTGAGCACAAAGTGGGCCGGGTGAGGGGGCCCTGGGGTCATGGGGCCACAGGGGGCAGGGTGGGGGCCTTGCAGGCCTGGGGAGTAGCTCACACGTGTCCCCCCGTCCCGGAGCAGGACTCCCCCGTGAACAAACTGCTCTATGCCCGGGAGATCCCTCGCTACAAGCAGATGGTGGAGAAGTAGGTGTCCCACTGGCAGCCGCCTAGTTACAGGGTGGGGTTGGGGGCCAGGAAGACAATGACTTGACCTGCCCCCAACTCGATTCCCCACCCTGACCCCCAGATACTATGCCGACATTCGCCAGAGTTCCCCAGCCAGCTACCAGGAAATGAACTCAACCCTGACAGAACTCTCAGGGGTGAGGCTCAGACCAGGGCAGGGGCGGGGGAGCATGGTGGGCATGGTGGGCACAGACTGGGGTCTCACCCCTGCCCTGTGCTGCCCCCAGAGCTACACCTCCACAGCCCACTGCCTGGCAGCCCTGCACGAGCTGTACACACACATCCACAGGTACTACGACCAGGTGAGGTGGTCGGCCGGCCAGGGGCAGCAGGAGGGGCAGGGCTCTCCTAGAGGCGGCAGCAGCCCAGCTGAGCTAAGCGGGCTCCTTGGGCAGGTTATCAGCGCCCTGGAGGAGGACCCGGTGGGCCAAAAGATGCAGCTGGCCGGCCGCCTGCAGCAGGTCGCTGCCCTGGTGGAGAACAAGGTCACCCATCTGTGAGGACCACTGCAGTGCCTTAGGACCCCTGGATCCAGCCAGTGCCTGAGGAGGGTGGGGTACCGCCCTTCCAGTCCCACCAACAAGCCCCCTCCACTCCCGCCTAATGTATTTATTCACTTGCTGGAGAATTACATCTGGAAATAAAATAGACACACATCTTTCTAGAACAAGCTGTCTCTCCTTCTCCTGCTTCCTGTCTGGGGCCCCTTGGCCCATCACGGATGCCTTTTGCAGCTGAGCTTGCTCCCGCCAAGCCCCGCCCCTCATTGCTGCCAGCAGGCTCCAGTCCAAACCCCTTCAAATGGGGCCAGAAGGGCATGGCAGGGTGGCCTTTGGGGTCCTGAAGTGGGGCTGGGCCTGGGGGCCCGGCTCTGGGGCGCCACCGGTGGCGCGCCGTGCCCTCCCTGAGTGGCCGGCCGCATACCTCGCCACCGCCGCTGAGCAGCTGGGTGGCTATTTATAAAGGCGGGTGAGATCAGTGGCCGCGACTATAAATGCTTGGGCCGCAGCCGGGTCCCACAGGAACAACCGCCCCAGGGCTCCAGAGCTGCAGGTCTGGCCGGGATGAGCGCCAGCACCGGTGCTGGTGGTGGGGACAGCGGCGGCAGCAGCAGCAGGTAGGGCCTGGTCCGGCCCCCTTGGGCCTGTGGTACTTCTCCAAGCTCACTGTCACCTGCCCCCAGCTCCCAGACCTCCTGTGGGCCCGAGTCATCAGGCTCTGAGCTGGCACTGGCAGCACCGGTGCCGCGGCTGCTGCAGGGGCTTCTGGGCTCCGACGATGAAGAGCAGGAGGACCCCAAGGACTACTGCAAGGGTGAGGCCTAGGCTGGCCCCCGGCAGCCACTGTGGCCCAGGGCAGCCCCGAGGGGCAAGCCAGGGCCCCAAGATTGGGAGGCCCAGCCCTGGGCCCAAGCAGGCTCCCTGAGGGGGTGGGGGCAGTTGAGAGGCAAGGTGGGCCCATCACCCTCTGGGGCTCCCTCTCCAGGTGGCTACTACCCGGTGAAGATTGGCGATTTGTTCAATGGGCGGTACCACGTGGTCCGCAAGCTGGGCTGGGGCCATTTCTCAACCGTCTGGCTTTGCTGGGACATCCAGTGAGTAGCCCAAAGTCTCCCTGCCCCCCCACTCCAGGCTAACCCAGGGGCAGCAAGCTGCCTAGGGCCACAACCAATGCAGTCTTGTCGCAGGCGCAAACGTTTTGTGGCCCTGAAAGTGGTGAAGAGCGCGGGCCATTACACGGAGACAGCTGTGGATGAGATCAAGCTCCTGAAATGTGTGAGGCACCACCCCCTGCCACCGCCGGCCAGGCCATGTGCGGGCACGGTGGCTGTGGCCCACTTCAGGCGGGCCGGGGCCCCTGGGAGGGGGGATAGGGTGGCTGGAGCCATCTTGGCTCCTTGGCTTCTGTTTTAGGTGCGGGACAGTGACCCCAGTGACCCCAAGAGAGAGACCATCGTCCAGCTTATTGATGACTTCAGGATCTCTGGGGTTAACGGCGTGCGTATCCTTTGTGGAAGCACAGGGTCTGTGTGACGGGGTGTCTCTCCACAGTGGGTTATCAAAGTGGCCCCATGCGGGTGCCTGAGGGCCTGGAACCTGTAGGATGGCCTCAGAATGGACCATCCAAACTGGCACACCTCTAAGTGACAGGGACTGCTATAAATAATTATGCCAAAGGATGGCAGCCGCACAAAGTGCCTGGGAAAATGGGGATGAGCCGCCTGCTCATCCTCTAGGCCTCTCCCGAGTCTCCACAGCTGGGGGCGGGTTGGGCGTGCTTCTACCCTTCACTCGCAGGCCCAGATGTGTGCATGGTGCTGGAGGTCCTGGGCCACCAGCTCCTCAAGTGGATCATCAAATCCAACTACCAAGGCCTGCCAGTGGCCTGCGTGAAGAGCATCGTGAGGCAGGTCAGCGAGCAATGGCAAGGGGCCCCGGGGGGTGGGGGAGGTGGGCGGGTGTTGGCGGCTGGGGCTCAGGTGTCATTGCCCCCAGGTGCTGCACGGCCTGGATTACCTGCACACCAAGTGCAAAGTCATCCACACGGACATCAAGCCCGAGAACATCCTACTGTGTGTGGGGGATGCCTACATCCGGCGACTGGCCGCAGAGGCCACTGAGTGGCAGCACTCTGGAGGCCCGCCCCCCTCCCGCTCCACAGGTACCAAGCGCTTGGGAGGCCAGGCTGGACCCTTAGGGCCTCAGCCCGCCCTGCTGAGTCTGTTTCTCCACCCCTCCCCCACTACCTGTTGGTCTCCTGGCCCCCAGTCAGCACTGCCCCCCAGGAGGCCTTGGTAAGTTGGGGCACCCTCTTGTCCTCTGCTTCATTCCATCTGGGTGGCAGGCAGGGGCAAGGCTCAGCCATGGGCACAGGTAGGGGCTGGGGTGTCAGTGGAGGGCTGCTCAGTCACCTTCCTTCTGAGGGGGGCGACCCTAGGGCCCACAGACCTTTGCCCTTGTGGGGGGGTGTGGGCCACAGTACCAGGGACTTTGGGGGCGACCTTGGCTGTGCCGGTAGATTGGGAAGCTGTCTAAGAACAAGAGAAAGAAGTTGCGACGCAAGCGGCAGCAGCAGAGAAGGCTGCTGGAGGAGCGGCTGCGGGACCTACAGAGGCTGGAGGCCATGGAGGCTGCAGCCCAGGCAGAGGGTGAGGATGTCAGCATAGCCAGGCCTTGGGCATTGTCAGCTGGAGGGGATAGCTGGTTCACCAACCTCTCTTCTTGTGTGCCAGATGCCAACTTGAGCTTAGAAGGGGGCAGTGGCTCCACCTCATCTTCCGGCTGCCACCCTGGGGGCCCCGGTACAGGCCCCTCCCCTGCGTCATCTTCACCAGGCCCAGGTGGGGGCCGCAGTCTCAGCCCCAGTTCACAGACATCGGGCTTCTCAGGCTCACTCTTCTCCGCTACCTCCTGTTCCATCCTCTCGGGCTCATCCAACCAGCGAGAGACAGGTGGCCTCCTGTCACCCAGCAGTAAGCAGCATGTGGCCTGGGGGTGGGGTGGAGGCTACGCCAGTGGGGGCCTGCTCAGCCCACCTCCCCTTCCCCAGTGCCATTCGGTGCCTCAAGCCTCCTGGTGAATCCCCTGGAGCCCCAGAATGCAGACAAGATCAAGATCAAGATCGCCGATCTGGGCAACGCCTGCTGGGTGGTAGGAGTGGGCCCTGCACCCTGGCAGGAGGGCATACAGCCCTACCCTTGGAGCCTGCAGTGTACACCCGCCATGGTCCTCTAGGGACCTGCAGGGACCGAGGCTTAGTCTCTTGGGGCTTATAATGCCCGGGCCGCTCAGAGCTCCCCTCTGCTCACAGCACAAGCACTTCACGGATGACATCCAGACACGCCAATACCGGGCTGTGGAAGTCTTGATCGGCGCTGAGTACGGCCCCCCAGCCGACATCTGGAGCACGGCATGCATGGTAGGGGTTGGCCAGTTGGGGGCTTATGGCAGGGCCTTGTAGGGCCCTCACACCCCTTCCTGTTCCAGGCCTTTGAGCTGGCCACTGGCGACTACTTGTTCGAGCCCCACTCTGGGGAAGACTACAGCAGGGATGAGGGTAGGCAGGGCAGGCATGGGTAGAGGAGGACCTGGGGCAGGGCCCTGGGGCAGCCTGCCCACCTGTTCTGTGCCTGCAGACCACATTGCCCACATCGTGGAGCTCCTGGGGGACATCCCCCCCGTGTTTGCCCTCTCTGGCCGCTATTCCCGGGAGTTCTTCAATCGCAGAGGTGGGTCTTGGGGCTCTGGGTCCCTTAGGGCAAGCCAGCCCAGGGGTAGAGCCTGATAAAGCCCTGCCCCCAGGTGAGCTCCGGCACATCCACAACCTCAAACACTGGGGGCTGTATGAGGTGCTCATGGAGAAATACGAGTGGCCCCTGGAGCAGGCCACACAGTTCAGCGCCTTCCTGTTGCCCATGATGGAGTACATCCCAGAGAAGCGGGCCAGCGCCGCCGACTGCTTGCAGCACCCCTGGCTCAACCCCTAGCTGCCCCCCTCGACTCTGACTCCAGTGCCTTTAGGGAAGCAGGGCATCTCCCACGCCCCCACGACAGCATCCTTTTCCCACCCCTGCTAGGCGCCACCCCCACCCCCACCCCCAGGCCAACAGCATGGTTCTTTTAATAAAGTGAGGCCGGCACTTGTGGTGTCCTAAGAATGGGAGAAATGCACCCAAGTCACGTGGGGGCAGAGGCCACTTTATTCTTTATTCTGTAGTTGGCCAATGGAGCGGTGTGTGGGGGGGGGGGAGATAAGGGGGGCGTGGGTAGAGCAGGCCCAGGCAGCTAGGCCTCCACAGCGCCGCCGTTCACTCGGATGTGGCGGATGATGTGCTGGATAGCCTCGGAGGTGGTGCCCTGGCCCCCAATGTCCGGGGTGTGCACCTGCAGGCAAAGATGTGCTTCATGCTTGGGCCAGAAGCCTATCCCGAGTGGGACACCCCCCTCCCCATGGGGCTGGGGCCAGGTGAGGCAGCAGGAGGAGGAAGCCTCACATTCTCATTGTCCATGGACACCAAGACGGCTTTGCGGATGGCACTGGCGTAGGAGTGGAGCCTAGAGGAGGGAGGAGGCAGACTTGAGGTGGGACTTTGAGGCCGGGCAGGGGGGTGTCTGGCCAGGCAGGGCAGCCACTCACTTGAGGTGGTCCAGCATCATGCAACTGGCCAGCAGGGTGGCTGTGGGGTTGGCGATGTTCTTGTTCGCAATGCTCTTGCCCGTGTTCCGGGTGGCCTGGAGAGGGGAAAGGCATAGGGTTCATGACTCCAGGCTGGGGGCCACCCAGGGGTCCAACGGGCACAGACCATCCAGGGAGTCAGTGAGGCCTTTCCTTAAGGGGAGGGAATCCCATGTAAAAGTCATTCTTTTAACCAATTTTAAGTCAGTAGCAATAGCCTTAATGATAGCACACCGGGGTGTGCAATCCTCACTTCAGAGCCTAGGGGTTGTTTTACATTGACGGCCCTCATAGTCAAACTGACAAATAGATATGCAAAAGCGAGGGTCACTGAGCCAGGAGCAGACTGGTACTGCCTGTCTTTCATGCTGAGTGCCAGAAGTCAACCACAAAGGACACTACACAGTTCTACTGATATGGAAGACCCATGACAGGAGGGGTTAGAGACCCAGAGTTGACTGGTGGGAGCCCGGGGCTGGGCAGGCTGGGTCACAGGGAACCAAGAAAACTCACCGCAATTGAGTCCGTGCTGATCGATAGCAGCCTACCCTATAGGACAGGGTGGAACTGCCCTTGTGGTTTGCTGAGACTAACTCAGTGGTTCTCAACCTGTGGGTTGCAAGTCCTTTGGGGGGGGGTCAAGCAACCCTTTCACAGGGGTCACCCGAATCATCACAGTAGCAAAATAAGTGATGAAGTAGCAACAAAAATAATTTTATGGTTTGGGGGTCACCACAACATAAGGAACTGTATGAAAGGGTCGCAGCATGAGGAAGGTTGAGAACCACTGCTCTAACTCTTTGTGGGAATAGAAAGTCTGTTCTCCTGAGGCGTGCTTAGTGGTTTTGAACTGCGGACCTTGTGGATCACAGCCTGACTTGTAACTACTACGCCACCAGTGCTCCTTGGGAGACTGGGAAGTAAGGACTAAGTGTGTGGGGCTTCCTTGTGGATAAGGCACAGGCACTGGGCTCTGCAGAGTCAGTCGGACCAGCCTGAAGGAGAGAGGCCTGTGCACTCACCGTCTCAAACACCGCGTAGACATGTCCATAGTTGGCCCCAGCCACAAGGCCTGGGCCGCCAACCAGCCCAGCGCACACATTGTTGACGATGTTGCCATAAAGGTTGGGCATCACCATGACGTCGAATTGCTGAGGCCGGGACACCAGCTGCAGGGCAAGTGGGAAGTGAGCGGGGCCTGAGCAGGGGGCCAGCAGGGCAGGGGCAGGGTGGCACCATGACCAACCTGCATGGTGGTATTGTCCACAATCATGTTCTCAAAGGCGATCTGCGGGTAGCAGGCAGCCACCTCCCGACAGCACTGCAGGAAGAGGCCGTCGCCCAGCTTCCTGGGGAGAGAGAGGCTGGCCAGTGAAGGGCAAGCTGGAGGGCTAGGGGAGCCCCCCACCTTCCCAGGCTACCAGTCCCATTGGCAGGTGTCTCCAGGAGGGAAGCCTACATGATGTTGGCCTTGTGCACTGCAGTGACTTTTTTGCGGCCGCTCTCCTGGGCCAGCTTGAAGGCGTACTCTGCGATGCGCAGGGACTTGGCCTTGGTGATGATCTTCAGGCTCTCCACCACACCAGTCACGCTCTGCGAGGAGGGAGGGCAGGATGGAGGTAGCCGAGCCAGGGGCACCTTCCTCATCACCACCCTGGGGAGGGGGGGACATCACCCCACCTACCTCATGCTCCAGACTGCTGTACTCGCCTTCGGTGTTCTCACGAACAATGAGGATGTCAATGTCCTTGTACCGGGTGACCACGCCCGGCAGGCTCTTACAGTGGATGACATTGGCATAGAGGTCCAGGCTGGTGCTGGGGACAGACAGAGCAGAGTAGCAGCTGGGCCTGACGGAACCCTCCTGGCCCACCCACCCGTCCCCCAGGACCTCACCGGAGGATGTTGTTCCGAGATTTATGGGATGGTGGCAGGTTGTGGTTCGTTTCAATGTTGCCTACAGAAGCAGAATATAAGTGGGCTGGCAGGGCCCCCAGGAGCAGCTCCATCGCCAGCCAGTGTCTTTCCCGAAGTGGCCTTGGGCAGCAACGGGGCACCGAGCACAAGGCTTTGGTGAACACACTGGCTGGACC